CAAAAGGTACAACTTGGGAAAACTTAGTATAACTATGTTGTTTTGCAGGAGTCCGAGGAGGAATCCGAGGAGGGAACAGAAGTAATGCAACCGCTGAACATGTACTTCAATCTGTCCGAGTACATGAAGCCATTCAAGCTATCTGCTAAGTGTTATATCACAAGGACAGTGAACTTCTTGAGAGCTCACCTTAAGTCCCATGAGTTGGACTGGTTCCTATGACACCTTAAGTCCCATGAGAAGGATAATTGATGATCTATTCTGGTTTAGTTGTGAACTCTTGAGATTGGTTTGTTTAACGTTGGGTTTTTGAGTCATTTTATATGTGAACTCTTTGTATTGGTTTATGGATTGATGTGTTTTTGGATGTGTTTTGAACTATTCTAATAAGTTATATGTTGTTTGTTAAGTTTCTGAGTTCCCATTATACAACTGCATTTAAAAGATCAACTTGGTAAAACTACATAGTAGTTGTACCATTACAAAATACTAGTTTTACAACCAAAAATTACAACCCAAATACACAAAGTAAGTTCTAAGTTACCAACAAAGCTAAGCCAATAAGGAAAGGGAAAAGTTACAATCAAACCAAGGAAATCAACCAACTAGTTTTATATTTAGTTGTACAGCTACGAAGAACAAGTTATACTTAGTTGTACCACGAAGAACAAGTTACACTTTATTGTACGATATTCCCAGCCCTATCACAAGAAGAGAACCACATAAATCCCACATAAGATTCCCGATGCTCTAGATTCGCAGCTCATTCTCAGAAATCACAAACCCAAAATAAAAGACGGAATCACACCAACCCAGAAAGAAAGAAGGAGAAGAAGTGAAGAGAGTAAAAGGACAGTAAACCCTAGCTATAGCCGATTCCCGATTCCCTCTTTCAATTTCAATTTGAAATTGAATTTTTTAAAAATTCTTAAGTGTAGGAAAAAAATAAAAATAAAAGGACCAAACAACAAACACGTGATCCACATTAGACACGTGTAGCCGCCAAAAGACACATGTGTAGCCGCCAAAATGCACTAGTTGTACCAAAGTTACAAGTTGTACTCGTTTTGGCAAGTTGTACTTTTTTATTTTTTTTGTTCTAATTAGTTATACAATGTTTAAAAGAAATATTTTTAGTTGTACACATGATTTTAATTAATTGAGGTACATATACCAAATGTACATGCATAAAGATTTTTGAAAACATTTGTTTCTTAGCTTTTCTAATTATATGTTGTTTGCAATGAGAAAGTGACCCTTAATGTGT